AAAAAAAAAAAAAAAAAAATATCCAAAGGGGGGGGGGGGGGGGGTTTAGTTTTTTTAGGGGGGTTTACACACATAAAAATACCAAAGGGGGGGGGGGGTTTGAACCCCCAAACCCCCCCCCCCCCCCTGCGTACGCCCCTGCATGACACTGTACTCATCTAAACAGACATACGTATGGAGGTATGCCTTTGGCTCAAGACTAAAACATTAAATTGTATAGCTGAACATTATAACTGAAATCGCCGTAGATGGTATAACATCGTTTGTAACCTCATCCATTATGACATCATCAGTATTTCCAAGACGTTGGTATTTTCCAGATTGTAAACACTTTTGTACTTCATCAATAGTAAACTTAATCTTTTTTAGATGGACTTGCTTTGAGAAATTGTTTTGTTATCCTGGCAAATTTAATAAATTTGTGTTCATGTTTTTTTTTCCTCTCAGCTCGGTGAGTGAACAAAATAAAAGTAAGTGCATGTTTGCTTCAATATGTGCCCTGAGGTGTATTCATGTTTTAACTGAGAGGAAGGAAGTTGTGTGGCATAACCGACAGCTCGGGAGACCTGGGGGTGTTTCACAAAGATCCTAAGTCAAAGTTGGACTTAAATATTATGAAGAGTCATTTTAACCTTAAAATAGAATACATTCAAAAGCCAAAATTCGAGTATTTTAGACTTTTCATAAATTCCACATCAAGAACATGAAATCTGTCATGGTAATAGAAAATATGAATGATTTGAATCAACATTTTATGCCTTTTAAAATACCTTTTACAAAATATTTTCAAGGATGCTAACGGCTTTCCATAACTTATAAGTCAAACTTAGAGATAAGTTCAACTTAGAATCTTTGTGAAACACCCCCCAGGTGACAAAAACAGGGAGAGGCGGGTAGAAAAGAGGGGGCGAGAGAGGATGCGAGAAATGTAGTCATAGAGAGGGGGTGGGGAGGGGTGAAGAAAGAGGGCAATAGTAATTATCTTTTGATCTATAATCGGCCATAGCTAGAGTAGAGTTATAAAACAGAAGTATGGATAAAGCAACAGTGATTGAAGAGGCGGGAAGAAAGGGAAACAAAGAGAAGATAAGAGATTAGGCGAGTAATGACAAAAAGATTTTAAAAAAGTGGGAATGAGCAAGTTGAACAATTGCAGTTGTTTTCTAACTTACAAAGTAGAGGGGAAAAAATGCAAAGGGAACTAGAAAAAGAAATATAAGTCGACAATTACCGGGCTCTCCCCTCGCTTTATTGTTGAGGTAAATAGATATCTTTACAGAAAGATAATAATATTGTCATAAAAATACCTGAAATAAATTTGTCGGGGGAATCTAATTGTAATATTTCTTGGAGGAAATCAAATCCAAGCTCAATTTTTTTTTTCTCTCTCTCTCTCTCTCTCTCTCTCTCTCATTCTCTCTCATTCTCTCTCTCTCTCTCTCTCTCTCCTCGTCCCCTCTCCCTCTTTTTTATGACATCACACAGTGCCTACAAGTACACACCTTAATTATTTGTTGGAAATACTAGTGTTCCTAATATGCATCACATTGTTTGTATTAGTATGATGCAAGCAAAAAGATACTAAAGAGCGCAGCGATCTTATATGAATCACATAATATTGCTCTTCACGTTAGCAAACCGCCTACAGTTGATTTTACGTTCAGTATGATGTACCTAGCTTCAGAGGCACAGACAAATGTGTGTTCTCATGCATTCCTTAATACAACATATATGATTTTTTTTGTCTTCCTTTCTATTTGTGCACTCATATTGTCTAAGTGGGTGGTAGCGATATCATCATGCATCGCTTGAATGTAAAGGTGGGAAACCTGTTCATATAATGTCATTCTATTGCGTGCCTAGTCTAAAAGCGAACAATGGCAAATTATGGTCTGAATAGCTGATCAGATTGAGTAGATGAAAAGAATATCCTAACCTTTGACCTCCATATCATTAAGCATGCCATGATCTCACACTCTGTCAGTAAGTTGTAATACTCGGGTAGCCTAAGCTATTAAGGTATGACGTAGTGGTTAGGGGATATGTTATGGGCATAGTGAGCACTGGCTGTGGTTGTGTTTGTGTTTGATACTCTAAATGAGAATGTATTGTGCCAGATTTAAGTTTAAAGATTAAAGTCTTTACTATTTTTCTAGTCTGAAGGCCAGACCGGGGCAAAAAAAAAGGGGGGGGGGGGGAGGAGAATAATTACCCATTGGCGAGACTACCGGCCGCCGCCCAGCTAGTTATTGCAAAGATGATAGACGTGCGGCGCTCTTTCATTTTTGGTTATAAAAATGTGAACGACGGCCGCGAGAGGGAGTTTATCTATCGCGAGTCAGTATCATGGCATGGTATGCATATCACATGAAGCCATAGAGTCCTTTTATATTATTATGCATTGTGTACTTTTTGTAAATACTACATATACTTTAAGCAAAACAGGTCAAACTTGAAATGTAATTCTTGTTTTTCAAAGAAAGTGCTGATATGATGGCTGTGTAGTAAACCCATTTAGAAGTGTACTATTGAAATAATTGTTTACATTGTGAATATTACATTAGAAGCATTATGATTCATTTTACATTGTCAACAACTTAAATAGTAATTTCTATCGCACTTCAAAATGCTCAAGGGATTAACACTTAACAATACTTGTTTCGGAGTAAACTATTTTGAAATACCCATTTAGGGTGTGAATTCGGGGACAAACACGCGAAATCCTAATTTAGGGTGTATTTTGGCTTCAGAAGAAATCCTCGTTTAGAGGGTGTCTGGAAAACCTATCGTCGCGCATGCTCACAGTATTTCTACATGACTGAGACCCCGGACCTTGGTAGTATTACTCTGTTCAATCGGTGAACCTAATATTCCACTAATTCTTGTTATCATATAATATAAGACAATGGATTTGTCGCTCGGCTAAGAGCGCTTTATGTCATGAAGTCTTTAATATCTTACAGAGTTACCACGAGCCATGAGTATACTTAAACACATCGCTTTGAAATTTGAACTTTGAACTATACTTTTCCAATGGGTGCACCGGAGCATAAACCATTTAAGGCCCGGTCACACAGGGAGGACGCATGGGGAACGCACGGCCAGCGCATTGGAAATTTGCAATTTGGGCCAGTGCGTTGTCGTTCGCTAGGCGTGCGTCATCATTCGTTACTCGTTCGTCGAGCGCGCTGGACCAACGCTGGACCAGCGCTATGCATGCGTCGTCATTCGCTGTGTGCGTCGGGATTTTTTGAGCATGCTCAAAAACGTGCGCTGAGCTCGACGCATGAATATACACGCCAAAGGCACGCCAGACATGCGCCGGAGCGCGCTAGACCAGCGCCAGACATGCGTGGAGCGCGCTAGACCAGCGCCAGACAAACGCGGAGCACACGCCCTGTATACGCACAGCGCGCTAGCTACACGCCGTGCATTTTGTGTCAGCTCGCTAGCTTTTCCAAAATTATGACAAAAGTTAGGCACACGTTCTTTTCCGATTTCCAATGCGCTGGCCGTGCGTCGTAGAACGCGGTGCATGCGTGGACCATTCGTCCAGCGCGCTAGCAACACGCTGTGCATTCGTGGAAGTTGTTTTCATGTGCGCTCTGTGTGCGCCCTGTGTGCGCCCTGTGTGCGCCCTGTATACGCCCTGTATGCGTCCAGCGCGCTATGCATTTGGTGTCAGCTAGCTGTATAGCTTCGACAAAAGTTGGGCGCACGACAACGCACTGGCCAAAATTGCAAATTTTCCATGCGCCGGTCGTGCGTCCCCCATGCGTCCCCTCTGTGTGACCGGGCCTTTAGCTGCGGTGGGATTTTTTGTTGATATTTCACAAATGATACGCACTGTGCTTACAATTGCCTGCCTGCAAACACTATTTCCTTATCTCATGGTGGAGAAGTCCTCGTCGCAACGGAACAAAACAAACTGTTAGTAAGTAATATTTTATATTATTATAAGAAATACTTTTATTCATTACAACAACAAAAATCAGATCTTAGGTAAGCAGTGGTTTTCTTCTCTACTGGTTGATTTTAGTGCTAAGTTTATTAAAGGGATCGTTTAACAATGTTAAATCTGAGATACACGACCCAACGTGTTATTAGTGTCTGTGATATGGTGTAATATTGAAGCCCTAAAAAAATCACGCTTCAAAATGACCAAGAAGTGCCTCAAAAAGTAAAAATCTTTGAGTGACCGGTTTTACCATACTCGTTTCCCCAATTGACTGTAGTGTTATGAAAACCGTTTGGGAAACGGTTTTCAAAATTTGTAATTCCAATCATAAATATGTTGCTAATCAGACAGGCGATCAGCTTGTAAAAGTCATGGCATTCCTGACTCACCTAAAGGTTTATACTAATCATTGCAGCATGAGCTAAATCCAGAATTTTGTTTCAGAATCTGAGACAAAGTTATTGGATCCCTTTAAGGAGGAGCTACAATACGAATGTAACGATCCAATAGTGCACGTTTTATTTATATTCGCCTGACTCGGTATGAATATATTAGTCATAATATACTGACGAGCAATAGGAGTAGAATACAGAATAATAAAGAAAAGGTTAGATGAATTACTTGGTTTTCTATTCCATGTTTCTGCTTTCCTATTCGTTTCCCTCCACCCATCGTACATGTCTTAGGGCGTGTTCACACCGCAGCGAGATAGCGCGGTCTATCGTAGCACCCCCTTTTTGAGAGGTCCTGTTGCCATGACGCGTGACGTCATGAAGTCAGAGCGGTCAAATATTTCGCGCGCTATTACGAACTAGGAGTGCTGACCGCTCTGACCTCATGACGTCACGCGTCATGACAACAGGACCTCTCAAAAAAGGGGGTGCTACGATAGACCGCGCTATCTCACTGCGGTGTGAACACGCCCTTAGTCTGTCTCTGTTTCCTGATAAGCTTCTTCGTGTCATCTCTTAAGGTCAAATCTCTAATTTTTTAAAAATTATTTTTAACAATGCAGGTTACTTCCAACCATTTGCTTCTCATCATGGCTTCTAAGTTCCCAGGAGAGAAAGATGAAAAGGTCGAGCTACGCACTAGAAAAGGTCATGACATGACATGGTCATGTGACATACACGGTGAGTCAATCAAATTTTACTGTAAAGAACACGAGATCCCTCTTTGTCATCCATGTGCGACCAAAGATCATCAGAAACCATGTCATCTGGAAAATATTGAAGATGTCATTTTGGAGAGAAGGAGAAAACTGGATGTCAAGCAGCCAGAGATAGAGGAAATGAAGAAACAACAGAAAGCGCTTGACTATAAACTAGAGTCCATTGCAGCCTCTGCGAGTAACCATTTGCAATCAGTCAACGATGACCTTCAGACGGCATTCGAAAACAAGTTAAAGAGTGTGAAAGAAAAGGAAGAACGAGCGATTCGTTCGATCAACGAAGAGGCGGATGAAGAAATACAAATCATTAACGAAAAGAGGGAAGGACGGATCAAATCATGTCACGAAGAAGCAGAACAGCAACAATTAATTCTCAAAGAAAGCCAAGCAAAAGTCGAGTCAGATACAAAAACAATCAGCGAGGTGATTCCTAAAAAGATAAAATATCTCAAAAATAAGAATCAGCACGCAATCAGCACATTGGATAAAATCGATTCCAAGATCAAAAGAATCACACAAGAGGACAAAACATTAGTGAATGAAACTCCTCAAGTACTTGAATCCCTAGATGAACATTTAAGTTTGAATGTTCATCAAGATGTTAGCGACTGTCTTGAACGAATACAGAGTGAAGTTCTTAGAGTGAAGTTTGTCGAGGGTGAAGTAGGTGGGGAACACTACGGGAGAATTGATGGCTATATCAGTAAATGGGAGCTTGTCAAGTCAATCCGCATTCCACCGATTGTTGATTACCCTCGGATGTGTGGCTTGATCAGTGATAATGAGATATGTGTGCGGGAAGCAAGGAGCAATCACACGTATGTTACAAATATCAGTAATGGACGCACACAGAAAGTCATTGAAGGAGATGGTAACGTGTGTATTACATCATGCGCCCCCATAGACAGCAACGTAATAGTATGTGGTAAGTGGAGACGAGGCTTCACGGGTGACAGCTTGGATGGATGCATCACTCTCTATGACAGGCAGTGGAAGGTGATTAGAGACATCAGCATACCGACGAATAGCTGCTATTATAATGTGTACGTTGATGTTGACAGGGATGGGATGATCCTCGCTGGTCAGAGAGATCAGTCTAATATCTACGTCATCAACCCTGCTGATGGTAAGATAGTAAACACTATTACGATGCAAGGCAAGGTGATGATGGGTGGGATACAAGCCTTGTCATCAGGTGATATCGTTGTGAAGACATGTGACAAAGCATTCCCTGTCATCTCACGATCAGGAGAAGAGAAGGCTGTCATACACTCTGATGAGTGGTGCAAGTCATGGTGTCGAGTTGACAAACTGACAGACACAGTCTACACCACATATGTGGATACAGAGCGTAATATCTGCGCAGTTGATCAGGTGTCATGTGATGGTATTATCGAGGCAAAGCGGATAGTGGAATACGAAGATTCATGCCACTTACTGTACTACATTAACTCGTGCCTCGCTACTCATTCTGGTAACCTGGTAGCTTGTGATGGAGACAATTTTTTTGTGTTTGAGAAGAGTTTCATTGTGTAAGCATACCTTGATTTCGCCATCTTGTAAATATCCCAAAGTTGATTATGACCTCGTTCATTTCAAATATATCTTAGTTTAAATTTTTTTAAAATTTTTTTTTTTAAATTTTTTTTTATTATGAAATGCAGTTTTTAAGATAAATACAAAGCAAACTAAAACCCCAAACAGAAAGGCGTATACTAAACACTCGGGTCGCGGCGCGCAGAAAAACACTCGGGCCACGGCTAGCTTGGCCAATATTTTGTTAATGGTGCCTTCAAATCGGCTTTATGAGAGGGAAAATGTATTGAGGAAGAGATTTGAAACTATCGACAATTTTGAAACATTTTTATTCAACAAGCTCTGCTTCAAGTTAGTTTCTCTTTTCTCGATTGCTACTGCTGCTCGCTACTTCTTGATTGTTTCCACTTTTCGTTTTATTTTCATCACTGTTAAATCTGGCCAACGTATTCTTTCAATTCCATTTATAAATATTTTCCTTTGTATTCCTCTCCTGGTAGTTTTTAATTTTCCGCAATTCATCTTCTCACTCTTTCCATTCTTCCTTCTTCGATCCTATTCATATTACCTTGTAGTATTACACTTTCTCGAAAATCCACTTTATCCACCTAGTATTCTGTCTTTCCTAATGTCAGCCTTAGTTATTGTCTTATTATTTTTCTATCATTACACAAAACAATCGCAACTTCCAACTTCTTTTTTAAATGTCACCATGCACCCCCATTGACAAATGGTTATAATTAGTCGCTAACTTAGATGAGATTTTCCCAGCGTTGAGGGCCGGTTTGAAGACACCATTAAAAATGGCCGAGCTAGCCGTGACCCGAGTGTTTAGTACTAGCCAACAAAAAGGACCTTTTCAGTAGGTGTCTTCTTATAACTTTATCATCTTGGCCGGTAATATATTTTTAAATCTTTGAATACGAATCCGCCAAACCACAGAAAACGTAAAATGACGACCAAGCCACACTCCCTATTGATCGGTTAGTGGCATTTATATTCAGACTATATCCTAATATCTGACAGTAGAATATGTTCAACATGATTAAATGATAATCGTCTTTGAACATGTAGAACAGTCAGGCCCAATAACAAAACAGATGTTGTATTGCTATGTAGGTGGCAGACCCTGGGTCGGTCGGTCGGATTTTTGTCTTCCCCTAAAAACAGCGAACATCGCCTAAAAAAACAACACGAAAAACCGGGAACTTCGCCCAAATCTCGCTGTTTTCTAGCTGGTGCAGTGCATAACATATACACGTACACAGGGCAAAGGGCTCTATCTCACTTGTTTACGCTAGGCGGCTAGCATGATTTTATAATTAGGGCAGAAGTCGAGTGAGAATGTGTATGCATTGATATCCAATTTAAACAAACAAACTACATATTTTGGGTTCATTAAACATTTTCTTCCAAAATAAACGGTTAACAACATTTTTTTAAATTCAAAAGCCGACCATAGATTTAAAGGTAAAGACCAGTTTTGGAAACGCCCCCGCTCAAAAAATGAAATAGAAGCTCTTATTACCAATCATGTGAAAGAATTTTTTTTTGACTAATACGTGATGATACAAATTTTGCGGGAAACCGCCTACTAATTGATATATTTGGTAAATTATCATTTCTATTTGGACCTGATAGATATCGTGCACGTGTCGCGTAAGTAGTCCCATATACATCTGTCTGTGTACACTGTTTGTAATTTTATGGCCCGGTCACACATAGACGACGCACGGCCGGCGCATTGGTAATCGGGAAAAGAATTTGGGAGAAGCTAGCAAGCTGACACCGAATGCATAGCGTGTTGCTAGCGCGCTGCGCGTATACAGGGCGTGTGCTCCGCCTATGTCTGGCGTTGGTGTAGCGCGCTCCGCGCATGTCTGGCGTCCTTTCGGCGTGTACATTCATACGTCGAGCTCCGCGCACACTATTGGGCATGCTCAAAAAATCCCGACGCACACAACGAATGACGACGAATGCATAGCGTTGGTCCAGCGTTAGTCCAGCGCGCTCAACGAACGAGTAACGAATGATGACGCACACCTAGCGAACCACAATGCAATGGCCAAAATTACAAATTTCCAATGCGCTGGCCGTGCGTCCCCCATGCATGCGTCCCCTATGTGTGACCGCGCCTTACCAGCAGATTTTGTATCAATTGGTGAATCCAGAACCTTGCAGTACACACCAATAATTATATGCTAGATGATCAACCTTTTCTGATCGATTCCACAACGTTTCTTGCACAATGCAATCGCATGACTAGAATTGATCTTCACCTTTAAAGAATGTTGGGTCGGTAGCAAGGGACAATACACCATCTTTTTCGTACGCTTCATCGCATGGTCTAATGGAAGAAAACGGTTTCATTAGGTTTAAGGTGAAAAAGGAGAAAGATGTGTTCAAATTTTAAATAGCAGAAATCATATCAAGTTCAAATTTAAATCTAAAAATATTTCACAAATTAAGAAATATAGTTAGTAGATATATCGGTTTCATTTAGTTAGTTAGAACAAAGTTTGTGTCTAAATATCAAATAATTGAAATCCTACCAATTTCGACCTCAATAATTCTAAAGCAGGTCAGAAAATATGAAATATATAGTAGCAATCGAATATGCACGAAAGACGACATCAACAACAACCCCCACCACAACGACAGCAACGGCAACTATAACACCCACATTAGCAGCAACAACAGCAACACCGACAACACAAACAACAACCACATCAACAGCAACACAAATATCACCAGGTTACTTTGTTAGGATTGTTTTATTACATTTCCCGATTATTCATAACACGCATTTACAGTTTCCCTTTCGTAAGAGTCCGGGCGCATAGCAGAAGATTGTATTTATATTACATATTTTGATATGATGAATAATCGTATTTCTTCTTTCAGCTGTCAGGCAGCGATTTGTATAAATGTTCAATTATTGCAACGGTTGGATGTATAAGTAAGGTACTTTTTAAAGAGGGAAGAGGCCTCTTAAAATTGGTTTAGGTATGGCCGTTAATCTTTACTCCGAGGGAATATTGACTATATTTTCTTGTAGGAATAACGATAATTATACTGATAACAATAGTAGTAATAGTAATAGTAATAGTAACAATATTAATAATAGTAGTATAATGTAATAGGTGCAGTAGAAGTAACAGTAGTAGTAGTAATAGTAGTGGTACTTGTAGTAGTAAATAAAATTATGATAATAGTTGCAATAATAATAATATGTATGTTTATGTCACATACTGTGAAGAGTGAATTGTAGGAAATGTATATATCTTAGAAGGATAAACTGATTGTAGTTTTGACTTATATGATTATGTAAAGAAAAGCTTATCATTTAAATGAAGCGTAATTAACACGATCACAACGACTTTCGAAAAATCAACTCGAGGTTAGTTTCTATTCCTATTCGGAATACGGCTCGGTGTAAAAATGTCAGAGGTAAAAATGTCAGAGGAAAAATGTCAGAGGTGAAAATGTCAGAGGTAAAAATGTCAGAGGTAAAAATGTCAGAGGAAAAAATGTCAGAGGTAAAAATGTCAGAGGAAAAAATGTCAGAGGAAAAAATGTCAGAGGAAAAATGTCAGAGGAAAAAATGTCAGAGGTAAAAATGTCAGAGGTAAAAATGTCAGAGGTAAAAATGTCAGAGGTATAAATAAAAACAAAATCATGTGGCAAGTTTGTTATGGTTACACCCGGGTTATATATTAGGCTTATCGAAAAAGAACAGCGAGGGATATTCTGCAGTCGTTATTTCACCGCTGCTTTATTTTCCACTTTCCCAGTTTAAATTTATTTACCTTTCGGCCCCAAATTGTGACTTTTTGCCCGATTATTGCCGAAGGAAGACGGGGGGGGGGGGGGTATTCTTCTTCTGGGGCACGGTTACCCGGCTGCTCTCCCCCTTCCTCTTATATATATGCTTTGCTTTATATATCCTTCCGAACAATGGTCAATGCCTAGGCAGAGCAGGCAGGCAATGACTACTATTGTATGTAATTTCCAAAAAATGCATATTTCCGACAATTCCACTTTCTTGTGGGCTTGGTATTTTGATACTCTGAAACAAAGCAGAAAGCAATGTTATCAATACTAAACCCATCACATTCCCGAAGTGCGCGCGTTGCAATAAAATATTGTCGATTACTATTGCGGTATAAAATAGTCCGGGAGAAAATCAATAAGCAGCTTTGTTACTCCGATACAAAGCAGAAAGCCGCCCATCTTACATCAATCATAGACGTATTCTATTACGTCTATGCATCAATTAAAGAGAAAGTTGAGTTCTGGGGAAAGGTGAACAATAATTTGTGAGCGTTTGTTATCATTCTTATTATGCAAGTGTGGAAGAACATCAAAGAAAAAAGTTTTTCCCTGAAAATCTATTTCAAAGGACTTCATATCCCAGATATGAAAAGTAATAGCTTTAAAATGAGGCCCGATTTGTATGCCATATGTTTGTGTAGTCCCATATCAATATCTTTCTGTATACAGTGCTTGTTACTTTACCAAGACTGGGCCAATTTTTTTTATCATTTTGATGACTCCAAAACCTTGCACTACACACCAATACTTACATGTTTATGCTAGATGATCAACCTTTTCTGATTGCTTCCACACCGTTTCTTTCATGAATACCCTCAATGGATACATAATAATACAAATATGGAGGAAACAATTTTGGCTAAAGGGAAACAAGAAAGAGGGGTGTACATTGGGTTATATTTAACGGAATAGTTAATGGAGTAAACAACTTTCATTTTTGAGGGGGGGGGGGGTAGCTTGTTGTAAAGGTTCATCGTTACTATAGGACTGTTGTGCCCTAGTTCAGAATGTTTCTGTACGAGTTCGTAAGTTTGTCAATGCATGCTCCGATTATCATTCAAATAATTGCCTCCAGGATTGTTATATTTCCGGCCCATTTGCGTTCTTCGGATTTAATAAAGATGGCGAGTGAAAGAGTTGTCTCGAAAGAGCACAAATGTGAGAGT